AACAGAACAAAACACTGAGCCTAGGATTCTGATTCAGGTTGCAGACTCTAGGGAAATGTCCTTTTCTCTTTTTACCTTCTATTCCTGATTTCTTGGCAAGTTTTTTTTTGTTTGTTTTTTTGCTTTTTACACTTCACGAAAACATTTTATTGGCCTTTTGGATAGAAACGGGATTTTTTTTGCCAGGAAGGATGATCCCATCATACTTCTGCTGGAACCAGCGCATGGCCTCCTCTTTGCTGATTCTGTTTGGCCCCAGTGCAGCCTGTCCTGTGCTTCTTGTCTGCGATGCTGAAACCTGGTCTACCCAGCACCACATAGAAGTCCAGGCCGTTGATACCAATACTGGGGTCATATTTGATCCCAAGATCAATGTGCTCCTGGATCCCAAAACCAAAGTTTCCAGTATCTGAGAAGTTATTTTTTCTTAACTCGTATTCCTGCACCTTTAGACCTTTCTCCAAGATTTCCTCTGCTTTGGCCCCACGGCCTGTGCAGTGGACAGCAATTTTTTCATTTCTCCTAATGCCAAAGGATCTGACGGTGTATCTAGCTTTGGAGAACACAGGAGTCTGGGCTGTGAGCTGCTCCAACACCTTGGTGGCCCAGGTCAGCCTGTCTCCACTCTCGCCTACACAGATGTTGAGGCAGAGCTTGCAGATGCGCAGCTCCCGCACGGGGTTCTCTTTTTTGCCTTGATCCTGCGCCATGATGGAGAACAGGAAGAGAGAATCTTGGCAAGTTTTATTGCATGACATCTATTTTCCTCCATCTGTGCTTCCTTCTGTGCCTAAGCTGCTCCTTTTGTATCTCAAAAATGTGTTAGTCAACAGATGGATAAATAGGAAAATGTGGTATACACCTACAAAGGAATACTATTCAACAGTAAGAGAAATCAAAGCTTGGCACATGTTGTAATATGGATGGAGCTTCAAGGCATTATTCTGAGTGAGATAAGTCAATTGCAAAGTTATAAACGTTGTATGGCTTCATTTATATCAAAAGATAAGAATAAATACTAGAGACCATATATTAGTGGTTGCCAGGGAAAGAGAGAAGGGCAGGGGGAGCAGATTATTGCTTATGGAGGACTCAGTTTGGTTTATGGTGATGGGAAAATCATATTGATTTAGGATAGAGTTAAACAGCTTTCTGTAATTTCTGGCAACAAGTGGTCCACCTTTAAAAAGCTGAATTGGCAAAACACGTACTTACACTCTACTGGCATAGTCTGTAGGATGTTGTGCAGCTAACTCATAGGCTGAGCCTCTTGTTGTTATGTGCCGTCGAGTCGCCTGCGACTCATAGCGACCCTATGTACAACAGCCCTAAACTCTGCTCTGTCCTGTGGCAATCGCACTGTCTCTGACACTCCCATCCCAATTACCCCAGTCACTGAATCAATCCACCTCATAGAGGGCCTTCCTCTCCTGCGCTGTCCCTCCACCCTCCCAAGCATGATGTCCCTCTCCAAGGAACGGTCCCTCCTCACAACACAAAGTATGTTAGACAGAGCCTCAGAATCCTTGCCTCCAAGGAGCCACCCGGTTTAACCCTTTCCAGGACAAATCTCTTTGTTTTCCTAGCAGTCCATGGTATTCTCAATACTCTTCTCCAGCACCACAGCTCAAAGGCATCAATTCTCCTTCTATCCTCCTTGGTCATTGTCCAACTCTCTGATGCATAACAAGTGATTGCGAAGACCATGGCCTGTATCAGACACACCTTAGTCTCCAGAGAGACACCATTGCTCTTCAGTACTTTGGAGAGGTCCCTAACAGCAGACTTTCCCATGGCAATGCGCCTTTTAATTTCCTGGCTGCTGGTGCCAAGACTGTTGACTACAGAGCCAAGCAAACTAAAGCTGTGTACAATCTCAATCTCTTCACCATCCATCCTGATGCTGCCAATTGGTCCAGTGGTGAGAATCTTGAGCCTCAATCCGTATTGTAGGCTGCAGTCCTTGACACTCTGCAGCAGGCGCTTCAGGTCCTCTTCAGTTTCAGCAAGCAGGGTTGTGTCATCCGCATAACGCAGGTTGATAAATTGTCCACCAATCCTGACCCCACAGTCTGAGCCTAGAGACATTCAAATCACCAGTGGCTCTGAGGAAGAAAGATGAATGGACAGTCTTCTCCTTCCATTTGATTTATAACCTTGGAAACCCAATCGAAATTGTTGTGTAAATTATAGAACAATATCATTAATATCACACACAAGCAAGATTCTGCTGAAAATTATCCAAAAACGTTTGGAACCATATGTCAACAGAGAAATGCCAGATGTGCAGGCTGGATTTAGAAGAGGTCGTGGTACTAGGGATATTATAGTTAATTAGATGGATCTTGGCAGGAAGCAAATAATACCAGAAGGATGTCTATGTGTGCTTCATTGACTATGCAAAGGCTTTTGACTGTGTGGATCACAACAAGCTGCGGCTGACTCTGAGAATGGGAATCCCAGAACATTTGATTGTGCTAATGTGAAACCTATACTTAGACCAAGAGGCAGTCGTCAGAACAGAGCAAGGAGACACTACATGGTTCAAATCAAGAAGGCGGTCCATCAGGCGTGTATTCTGTCTCCATACCTTTTCAATCTGTATGCAGAACAGATCATCCGAGACACTGGGCTGTATGAGGAGCTATGAGTTAGTGGTTTATATTTTCAGTAAAAAAAAAAAAAACCTAATAAAAAACTGCAATAAAAAAATTTGCTTCAGATAAATTCTATACTTCTACAACCTCATTGCCATAATATAGAAAACACTATTCTCAGATGAGATTATGTCCACATGTTTTGGGATTTAGACATATATTTTAGGGGTGGGGCACCATTTAACTAATAACAAGTCCAAATATTTGTATACTTCCTGTTTTCCAGTTGTTCTATTTTCCATCCAATTCCTCTCCATTAATAAATGACAACAGAAAACTACCTTTTAAGATCATTTTCCTCCACAAGCCAGAATCTCTAAATTGCATAGATTAGTGGGGCCCCAGAAGGCCTCCCTGCATTGCTCTCTGTAAATTGTCTTTTCCTTTAAACGTATGAAAAATAAGTCTTACTAATTACACTGTTAGTGCCAAAAAGTACCTAAGTCTCCTGATTTGAATGTTATTGTTATATTAAAGTTTTCTCCTTATATGATTACTGTTTTTATTGGGCTGGGGACCTTACTGGTACTACTGCCACTGCCATGGCAGATGGAGGAAAGATGTCTGGTCTGGGACAGCATTTCTGCAGGGCAGTTTTCTGCTTGTCTGAGGGGTAGCTGAAGGCACTAAGGATATCAGGGAACACTCACGATATGGTACCAGACCACAGCAGCACCTATGCCAGCACCTCAGTAAGGATCACTGAAGGGCAGGGCACTCAGCCTGGCATAGGGTCTTTTCTGGCCTCACAGGTGCCTAAGGTAGTCTCCCTGACCAAGGATGGTATCTCTGCTGTCCAGAAGATTGGTACACGCAGGGAATCCAGAAGTGGAGGCAGATTCTGCCAACTGGAGAGGTAGCCAGAGAAAAGGATCCTACTTAGAGATGGCATTTCTGTCCACTGTAAAGGCTGGCCATGAGCTAGGCACAGCACAGCATAGCCTACCAGTGCCCCAAAGTAGAGAGAGTGAGACTGTGACACCTTGTGCACTCATGGCTCCAGGTGAAAAACAGTGAAAGTCTAGCTGGCCTCAGGTGGAGCTGGGATGTGGCCAGAGGAGCAGTATCTGTCACCTGGTAGGCAGCCATGAGGAAAGTCATAGCCTCGCAGGGTATGAGGAACGAGACGGAGACTGTGCCTTTCTTTTTTTATTTATTTTTATTTTTATTTTGTGTGCGTGTACCGTCAAATCAGATCTGACTGGTACAGGAGGATATTGCGCCTCCTTCTCCGGCAGAGCATCTGGTGGATTCGAACCGTGTTCCTCTGGGAGTGCAGTGCAGCTTCTTGCCACTAGGCAAACAGAGCTCCCCTTGACTGTGCCTTTCTTGGGGTCACCCAGCCATGGTGTGAACACAGTTGCTGTCCTAGAGTCCTGCACTGATCAGGTGTCTGCTTGAAAAGTTCAAAATAGCCATGCTTAGGATGTCTATAACCCAATTCACAGCTTCATCTGTCTCCACATTTAATGTTTTCACTTAGTATCTTGTCATTAGTTGGTTCTTGAACTGCTTCTATATCATTTCCTTTGAGACTCTGAATTTCAGGATTATCATCTATATCTGCTACCTTTAGTTTCCTGGAGTTTTAGTTGAAGAGGCTGCCATCTGTCTAGTCCGTCATCTCGCTGGAAGGCTGGAAGCCATAGCTTTCTTTTGTTTCTCTTGGGCTTTTTTGAGTACCATAATTATCACACGTCAGTTGACTTCAGCTATGCTGCTGGAATTAGTGTAAAGAATTCTTCTTTTTATTTCTCCTTATCACAATGGAGGGAAAGATTATCTGCTAGTAGAAAACAAAACTGGGATTCATGTTTATTTTAGAAATGGAGAAGCAAGAATTGCCTTTCCCACTCATGCCTGCGGGAAAGGGTATGGTCTAGGGTGTGGGAAAGAGCCAGACAAAATACACAGCCAGTTTTCAGTTCTGAACAGTTAGGACCTTTTGACTCCAGAAGATAAGTATTCCTGAATTTATCCTTCCTGGCAGTGTTAACATGTGCTGGGCCTAAGTGTGCCTGCGACCAGCTGGATGAAGACCTTCGAAGCCTTTAGTCAGGTACAACCCAATCGGCAGGGCTGGAGGGAGGGCTCCGTGTCTTCCTTGTTTGAGAAAGTATATTGCTACTGGTCTGCAGAGCCCTAACCAGGGAGCTATGAAGAATAAAGTGTTCATTACTTTTCTAAACACTTTCTCCAAAGGTTCTTTCCTTAAAATCCTTTTATTTTCTTAAATGCTCTCTTCAAGTAGTGAGCAGGTAAGAATCTATTTAGCCAAGATAAGTTGGCTACTTCAGAGCTTCCCACAGGGAAAACAGAATCTGATCTTCCCCCCGCCATTCCTCACTTAGTATCTAAGTTGAGAACACCCAGCAGTAGGAGACAGAATACAAGGACAGGAAAGATTGAGCCTGTTGGAGAGTCTGCTCCTTTGCTGAATGCCACTCTGAAGGGAAAGAAGAAGTCAAATGGCATTTTCCAGTCCAACTGTGTTTGGCCCCTTGGAGGCTCTGGTTTCTGGGTAATGTCCACAAAGGTCACAAGAGTTGTCACTGATAATTCTGTTGGAAGTCTGGAATCCTGTAAGGGCAGGGGGAAAAAACAAACCTAAGTCATTGTTTGGCAGACCAAAACATTTCAAATTACTCTAAACATACATCTATCTTCTTATATTAACTTGAATTTTCTCCACTTGGAAAACTGCCTGATATCAGAAATACCAGATGCCAAAACTGCTGTTGTTACACTGTTAGCAGTCCTACCTTATCAAGTTCCAGCAGGCCTCTGGCTCTGAACCCAGGCATATCTCTGTGCAAGTGCAAGCTGTTGTTATGTGGCATCATGGCAGAACCAACCCAAAAGGCTGATCCTCTAGCAGGTTTTCAGAGGCTGTAAATCACATGGGAGGAGAATGCCCATCTTTCTCCCGAGAAGCAGCTAGAGGATATGAAATCTGTGCCTTTGGGTTGGCAGTGCAACTCTTTATCCACTAGGCCACCAGAGCTCCCCAAGTAGTAGTGGCAGCTGTATTTCTTAAACTGTAGACAGAACTATGAAACAAAGAAAACTGGGAGGCATTTATTTATTACTGAAGAATTTGGACTTTATTTGGACATTAACAAGACAGAAACACCTGATTCTGGGATTCACTTTAATATTTTTGGACTTTGATTTCTTTGTATTTTAACTTACAAGATGATTTCCTCTTTCGGTTACAAAGTATAAAACTTTGTAGCTGGTACTACTGAATCGTTAATAATAATTGAAATTACCCGATGAGCTGTAATTGTCAGGCTGGTTAGCTGTACTTAGGGATGGGGGTGGGGATATTAAATGGAGGATAAACTTTTCTCACTGAGTTCATGTTTCCCAGGAGTTGACTGAATTAAGGGAGCTCTGGTGGCAGAGTCCATACACAGTTGTTCTGGAAAGGTGGCACCTCTGTGGCAGTTTGAGTCCACCAGCCACTGCACAGGAGGAAGATGGGCAATCTCCTCCTGTGTGATTTACAAACTCCCAAAGACCTGCTGGAGGGTCAGCTATGAGCTGGTTCCAACTTGATGGCAATGAGTTTGGGTTTTATTTTGTCTTTTGTTTATGACTAAATTCAGAGCCTTTGGGAGAGGGCAGATTCCAAGCTGCCCATCAGCAGTCCCAAAAGGATATGCAAAGAATCCAAGATTCGAAATAGGTTAGTGGCTCATGATCAAGTAGTACTGTATTATGAAGCCAAAGCTGCACACACAAGCCATATGCTTCCATCTAGCACTTACAAGTGATAAAGCTGACACTAAAATTTCTGCTTGACTCTTTTCATTTGTTTCCAACTCAGGCAGGGAAAAGTGTCAGCCCCATTTTTGGGGAAAATAAAACCACCAAGCCAAAAAAAAAACCGAGAAAAGGAAATTTCTGGAGTTTTAGGGTCAGCCAATTCTAGAACTTCTCTCTCAGGTAGCTATGAGTCTAAGAAGGCAACCTTTGAGTCATGTCTGCTCAAGTATATGTTTCTAAGTCTATAATGGTGCTTCAATGGCGAAGAAATTCCAAATGACAAGAGTTCTTTGAGCAGACAGTTCATTCAGACTCCCCCAGGATCTGTGCTCATCAAGGACTATTACCAGACTTCAGACCTTCTCCTTTTACATCTCAAGAATTAGTCTATTGCAACATGAAACAGATAACAAAAAGTCCATCTTTAATAAAGAGACATAAGAGCATGTAAAAGTAGAACACAAACGGATGTTTCATAGTCTCTTTTGGTTTTTAAATAACCAAAGACTCATTTTGGTCTTATCTCTACCTTTTAGAGGACCATTTGTTTCTCTCATGGATGATATTTTTGATGTCATATCACAACTTCTCTAGTCTTTGGTCATTAGTGTTCAAGGCATCACATCTATTCTTGGCTTTTAATTTCAGTTGGGATAAATTCAGGGACATAGTTTAGTTTTCGAGGATTTTCTTCCACTTTAACTTTAACTTGTCCACGGTAATTGATGGTCTGTTCCAGAGTCAACCCCTGGCCTTGCTTTGACTACTAATACTGAGCTTCTGCACAGATGTGTAGTCAAACTGATTTCTATGCCATTTATCAGGTGAGGTCAGTATGTATAATAGCCACGTGTTTTTAAAAAATGTGTTTGGAATGAATAATTTATTGATTGTACAAAATTTTATCATGCAAGCTCTGGTCTTAACTGTCATCGTGAAGGCCATATTTTCCAACCATCAATCCTTGTTCTTTGTTTTCTACTTATGCATTCCAGTTACCAATTATTATTAATGCAACTTGACTGTATATTTGATCCATTTCAGACTGCAGAAGTTGGTGGAAGTCTTCAATTCTTCATCTGTCACTTTAGTGATTGGCTTTGTTCAGGAAAGCAAAAAGCTGGAAACAACCCAAGTGCCCATCAACAAATGAATGGATAGAGAAGCTGTGGTATATTATCACAATGGAATGCTATGCAGCATTGAAAAACAAGGAACTCGTTAAATATTTTGCATAATGGATGGCCTTGGAGGACATTATGCTGAGTGAAAAGATCTCAGTCACAAAAGGACAAATATTACATAGGGCCACTGTTGTAAAAGGGGATTGACATTAAGGTTGAGGGAAGAAAGAGAAGGAGAAGAGGAATGATGTATATTGCATTGAAGCAGATAAGGGAGAGAACTGTTTGAAAGGGATATCTGATTAGGTATTATTGTCATGACAGGAGTTCAGAGTGAAGGCTGCATTGTGGAGTGGACTTGGGGGGAGGGACTGCATAACAATGAAAGAGTATTTCTTTCACTTTTCAAGGATTGGGGGGAAGGGAGTGGGCAGGGAGGAAAGTGTAACAATGAATAACTGGAAACCCTAAGTCTCTGTAAACTTTCATTAAAATTAATTTAAAAAAAGAAATACTCAGCTCTTTTACATCATCACTTTTCCTTCTGCTTTTACTGCTCTACAATCAAAACTAAATTTTAGAAGAGTAGGCTGCAGGGCTTGTGGCAGATGCTGCAACCTTAGCCCTGTGCACGTGCACGGCAGCCTCCCCAGCGATGTTCCCCTCCCAGCGGAAAGTGGCTGCCCTGGGACCACAAAAAATGCAGACGGTTGCCCACTGGGCTGCCCCGGAAGATCTAGGTTGTTCCACACTGGCCTGCCCCGGAAGTGCTCCGTCTTCCACCTCTTCCTGCTCTGGCTTTAGCTCAGCTGCTTAGGTGATATGGCCCAAGTGGCCAGCGGACAAGGACAGGAGACCCCAGGCACACCCCAGCACTGGGAAGAAGACATCTCCTGGGGTCCCCTTCGCCGGGCGGTGCTGGTGCCCTTTCGGGAAAGCTTTGAGGAGCTCCTGGTCTTTGTGCCCCACATGCACCGCTTCCAGAGCAGAAAGAAGATGCAGCACCACATCTAAGTGCTCCACCAGGTAGACCATTTCAGTCTAACTGGGCGGCGCTCATCAACGTCGGCTTCTGGAGAGCAGCAGCAGCACAGACCACATCGCGATGCACGATGTGGACCTGCTGCCCTTCAAGGAGGAGCTGGGCTATGGATGGCTTCCCTGAGGCCAGACCCCTCCATGTGGCCTCCCCAGAGCTCCACCTGCTGTAACCACTACAAGACCAATGTCGGCGGCATCCTTCTGCACTGTCAGCTGTGCAATGGCATGTCCAAGCACTTCTGGGGCTGGAGCCTTGAGGATGATGAGTTCTACCGCTGCATCAAAGTAGCCGAGCTGCAACTTTTCCACCCTTCCAGAGTCACAACCGTCTACAAGACATTTCACCACCTGCACAGCCACCAGAAGCGCACTGCAGTTCAAAAACAGGAGTACTTCAAGGTGGACCAAGAGGGAGGTCTGAGCACTGTGCGCTACCTTCTGGATTTCCCCACAGCCCTGTCTGTGGGCGGAGCCCCTGTCGCAACATCATGCTGGCCTGTGGTCAGGCTGCCATCCCCTGGCTGAGTGGGCAGGACAGTACCAAATCTGTGTGTCTGCAGGCCACACTACCATCTCCCAGCAAAGCCCGGGCCAGGCCAGTTCCCATGCAATGTGAGTGGCCTGAATCCACTGACAGGCGATCCAGCGGCAGGCAGAACTGGACCAGGACACACAAGGTACCTGGCCATCTCCAGCTACAGTGATGCAGATGACCTGGAACGAGGCCCTGCTGGGACTGTACACCCTGCCAGCCGTCTCCCTGCTTTCCTTCTTCCTCCATGTGCCAGAGACCTGAGCCGGTGGGAGGAGTGTGTCCAGTCGGGAGGAGCAGGACTACTCTCATCAGCCTGGCTGTGGTTCCATCCACGCGGCCACCTTGACAGACACAGTGTGGAAGCCGGGCAGCTAACATCAGTGGATTAGAATTCCAGAAACGAGCACAAAGAACCCGTCTCCCCCCCCCCCCAAGAGGGGCCCTGAGGCTCAGCTCCACCTAATTTCATTAAGGTGCTACTGATTTCTTAAATTTTTCATAAGAAACCAAAATTCTGGATTCTTAACTGAAATATCCTGATTTTTAAATGATAGTAACTAATTGAAACCTTAAAAAAATGGCAGAAAAAACCCCCAAAACACCACTGAGTGAGGAAAAAAGGGAATAATAGAGCTGACCTCATTGACCTAAACATCAAGTCAATAAATCATCTCTCAAACTCATGACTAAAAGAGAAAACTAAGCAGGCTTGTATTATTTAGAAATATAAGTAAAATTCAGAATAAACAGGTAATTTCTGGAGAGCAGGATGGGAATGGGGGCATATAGGACTTTTTTTTTCTTAAAAAGCCCTCCCCGCTGCCTTTTCTTTTTACTTTTAAAAAAAATGTGGGAGGGGGAGGGGGAGTGGGCAGGGAGAAAAGTGCAACAGTGAATGGAATTCCAAAATCTCTGTAGATGTTCAAAATTGGGAAGGGCTTACACTACCTTCTCAACCTATATGCAGAACAGATTATCCAGGAGGCTGGGCTCTATGAGGAGAAATGTGGGGTCAAGATTGGTGGAGGATTTATCAACAATCTGTGTTATGCTGATGACACAACCCTGCTTGCTGAAACTGAAGAGGACCTGAAGCGCCTGCTGCAGAG